GTATTTTTAACTCTTATGTGATTTTGAATACACTCGCCCCAGCCAAACCACCCATGATTTCAGTTCGCGCTAAAATATGAATGCATAAGTTGCATGAATTGCCTCAGCTCAAGAGGTGAAGCAGTTCATGCGGTCTCATGCACCGGAAGAGGCGGAGTCATTCAATTGACGGTAGGTTGAATCATGCATGCAGCGAGTGTGCATGAAGAGAAACGGAATGCAATCCCATGTGGTCTCGTTAAAAATGATTTGAAATGTTTGATGGAACAATTAGAATAAAGAATTTTACGAACTGATCAATTAAAAAACGCTTCAAAGCGTTTGCAACATCGCCTGATCATACCCTAGAGGTGCACAAGATGCATTTCACACAGGGAGTGCGTTCCGATTTATGTACAAAGCGCGTGCAATATTGAAATGCATACTGATGTGCAATGCTTCGAAATCGTTCCATTTTTTTCAATGCGCGTATAACATTCATGAAGCGCTTGTAAATTCAGAACGGTTTCCTATGCAAGCTGTGGGCTGAGTAGACTGCATTGGTAATGTTAAAAATGGTTCAAACGATTGCGATTCATTGATTAGTTACAAAAATACAGAAAGATACAAATATATATTTTTTTAACTTTTAAGGAGTGATTTAAGAATACAAAATATAAATAATAAGGTAGTAAATTGTCTCCAAATTTATCGTTAATATGATTTAGAATAATCTATAATTTTTATCGTAAATATGATTTATCATAAATATGATTTAGAATAATCTATAATTTTTTTATAATTTTATTATTATGTTGAAATATCACTCAAACATTTCAAATTATAAAAATATTGTATTAAGAATTAAAAATATTTTTACAAATTATATTAATACATTACAATATTATACAATAATATAATAATATATGTATATAATATTATATTATTTTATAACACATTTTTAATTTTTAGTTAAAAATATTTAATATAATAACGAAACATAACATTAGACTTTGAAAAGATTGACTTTTAATTTTAAATTTAAAAACTCGTAATTTATTAAGATAAAATTAATTAATTATAATATAAAATAAACAACTTTCAAGGCTTCAAGTTATTCTTTCTCTCATAATATAATATTTGTTTTTCTTTTTATTAGGTGTAGTAAAAAGAAATCCATTATTTTTCCATTCAATTTCATGCAAAAATAATGGATTTCTTTTTACTACATCTAATATAAGAATTCTTAGAAAGATTCTCGATCCATTTAAAAATCACAGTATCACGAATTCGTTCTGAATTACACATGAAGCGCATGGACTGCATGAATGCATATACATCAACCTCAAGTCAAAAGAGAAGTAGCGCTGGGAGGAATACTAATGCATGGTCTATAATGGGCAGTAACAGTAATGGATTAAGAGAGTAGGCGTAAAAATCGACCAATCATAGTTGAATGTGAGAAAAATAATTGCCTATGATGATTGATTTCTACGCCTATTCCTTAATCAACTACTGTTACTGCCCATTGTAGATCATGTATAAGAATTCAGTATGATTAATACAATCTGGGGAATTAGTAGCACTTTCGAAACACTTTCGAAGCGCGCAATAGCTAATTTGGAATGACTTTCTGTGCAGTCTACGCGTTTCATGCGAAATTCGGAACGCACTTTAAGTTTTATTGAAAATTAATTTAAAGAACGTATTACAAAATGTCATTTCATATATAAGTACAATAAGAATAATAAAATAATAATGTATAATTACATATATAATGTATACAATTGCACATAATTACACATCGTTTTCTGTATTTCAGTTAATCCTATTATTGGCATAGTTTGTCTCCATATTAACAAAACAACTAAGGATTTTATCATAGAGGCAACAACATAGAATGTACAAATATATAGTTTCTTTGAAGATTTCGATTTCTACAAGTAAAATTGGAAATGACCGGGTAGAAAAAGAAGAAGAAGAAGAAGAAGAAGAAGAAATATACAGTTTTCCAAAAAGAATGTAGAAACCCTGTAATAATTTTTATAAAGTAAAGATGTTGGAAAATTTCGAAATACGTTTCGATATTCCAAAAAAGTTACTTTTATGTATGCTTATTAACCATCACTCACAGGTGCATGAAGACGAGAGAGATGATCGTGGATAATACCAAGTAATGCTAAATATATGAAATTTTCACTTTTAGCTGTTATTTTGAATTATTAGTAGAGATTTAAAATTGTTAGCATCTTGATCGCCATTAAAAAGCTTTTCAAATAAGGTTCCAAATACGGCTTTTAATGATATTTAAAATTTTCATCACATCTTCCGTCCTCGCACACCTAGGAGAAGTTAATCAGCACTCATGCAAAAGATAGCTTTTTATGGAGCATCGTCGTGTTTCACCGTTTTCTAGTATTCTCTTTTTTTACAGAATTTCCATATCCTTGGAAAACCCTGTATATGCGTACAAATATGTTAACAGGAAACTTAAATATGTTTTAGAGGAAACACAAATATGTTTCTTCTAAAGGAAAAAAAGGAGATACATGTAGAGATTACCAGAAAATCTAAAATTAAGAAAAATTTAATATAATTATCTCAGAGCGTCCATAAACTAATTACAGATCTGGAACTATGGTCAAAGTCTCGCTGCAAATGCTTTGAAAAGGTTGATAGTCCAATTAGAAGAAAGAATTTTACAAATTGACCAATTAAAAAATGCTTCAAAACATCGCGTTAACCTTACCCTATTTGCCACTTCTAGTTTTGACGATATATATGTATAATACAGAAAGTAAATTAACCATTCTTTACATTATTTACATTCTGTACATTCTTCAGTACGATCAGCATATTTTTTAAAACATATTTCCTGCAGCCTGTTGCATTAAAAGTTTCTAAAAAGGAAAATCGCATTTTGATTAATATCGAACGAAAAATATTTTTTCTTCAAAAAAAAAAAGTATATCAGTGCGACATTCTCTTTACCTTGATTGGCGGGAGAGCATCTATTAATTGCAAGCCCAGACTTCTACTAAGAACAATGGGTGCCGCGGTGTGTTGATAGAACCGATGAAGTCCATCGATGGCGAGCATCATCGGTATATTGTGACGTTGCCTCACCGTCTCGTATGTCCGCAAATAGAACATATCATTGAGATGACTGCCGTTCACGTTGGCCTCGGCGAGGATTTGCGTCAGATCTACCACGTCGCCAAAACCTAGATTTACACCTTGACCTGCCAAAGGATGAACTCGATGTGCAGCATCCCTTTAAAATACGCGTAGAATATTAAAAAAAAATAAACTATACATAATTAAAATCTCAATATACAAATTTTAGTTTGAAGACAAATTATGCAGTTGGACAAAATTTTCTTACCCGATCAACACCGCGCCTGACTGAGCATAAGATGAGGCATGACCAAAACCTAAGGGAAATGCTGCCCGCGATCCCTCGACAATTGCTTCCACGGAGGGTGGCATTTGCTTGAATAATGCATTGGTCTTTAAGGCAAGTCTTGTAAGTAACCAGTGGAATCCTTGCATCCCACTTTCGACGATACTGCTCTTCGGATAAATTCGCCACAGCGCCTCATTTATTCTGTCGACAAATTCTTCCTCCGAGATTTTCAATAATTCCTTTGCTTTCTCTTTCGTGACGGACCATACGAGTGAACTGAGAGAATCTGTCAGCTATTAGAGAACAATAATATGTAGAAATAATTAATTTAATTAATTAATTTACTTTATTGCAAAGCTCTATAAAAAGACTATGTTAACAGAGTAATAGACATAAGATACAATAGATTATAGTAGCTTGCAAATGGTATCAACAAAACTACTGTTACAAAGTTTACCAACAATAAAAAACCAGGATTAAGACAAAGATGCAATGAGTGGCGAAGCAATAGTTACAATCACACATACACACACACACACACACACACACACACACACACACACACACACACACACACACACACACACACACACACACACACACCCGTTACATCAGCCCGCTTAAAAACTATGAGTGATCCGATGAAGCGTGAGGCAGCGGAACGAAAGGAAAATAGAGAGGGAGAGGTTTTTATTGATACAGGAAGAGAATTTAAATTTGATCGAGGTATAGAAGAAAGCGAAACTTAGTGGAACGATGTATAGGGAAGAATAAATAATCTTGATATCTGATGATAAAGGGGTTAATAATGAAATGAAGTTCAAAGTTCAACTGAAGGAGGCATCGCAGATATAGAAGAGTACTGGAGCGAAGAAGAGAAAATACGAAGCACAGATGGTATATAAAACGTTGCCACATCCTAAATCAGCCAGAACTCTAATAATACGTATATATATGGTCATATTTATGGATGCAATAGGAGAAGCGGAGGCAAGAATTTTGGATACGCTATACTCGATTTAGCAGTTACATTAAGAATTGGAATGTAAACGACATCGGCGTAATCAAATAAAGAAATAACGAGAAATTGAAAAAAGAGAAGTTTTTAAGAGTAGGAAAAGATGTGATGAAAGAGATAAAGAAAACGTAGACGGGCGTAAGCAGCTTCACATTTGACAATCACGTATGACTCGAATGTGAAGAGTCACATGGATAGAATCTTAATAGAGGAGGAGCGAGAAATTGGAACGGAGTTAAGAGCAATATCGAAGGATTGAATACGCGATAATAATATTGAGGAATCGACAATTAGCAAGGATGATTTAGAAAAATTTAGATGCAGCGCATTATTAGTGAATCATTCGACAATAGATTTTAGATCATTATTTAAAGCAGAACAGGCTGCTCCAGCATCAATGTGTGAAAGGATTTGAGAAGAATTACATCATCTGCATACATAAAGAGCTCGGAGGATAGAGAAATTTAGACAAATTAGACAAATTAGAGACAAAAATACTAAAAAGAAAGAACCTAGAATCCTGGAGTACATCAGAAAGAACAGCGAGGAAAAGAGAAAAGAGGAAAAGAATTATATATGAGAATTTGCTGCGTAAGATTTGTAAGGAAGGAACAGATTAGCAGATTAGAAATAGTAATATAGTAGAAATAGTAATATAAAATGATATTGAATCGATCTATTAATTTTCTTTTTGTCTTCAAATTTGTTCAATTAAATTAAATTACTTAAAATGTCTGACTTGAGATGTCAAACATTGTATATTCATTTTCTAAATCTATTAATTATTCTTGAAATTATTCTAAATGACGAGCATAACACAGAGAATAACGTCACATTTCATTTGATTTGGTTATATTTCCATGATATTTTCCAGGCATTAGGAGTATTTTGGACTTTGACGTTGTTCACGCAAAGAAATGAATTAATAGAAATACGAAAACTGACAAGTTACCGGAAGCATTGCGATGGGTCCCGTTGGAAGAAATCTTTGCCAAGCAATGACGTTCTCCGTAGGCTGAAATCGATTAACAACATATGTTACAACTCAACAGTTCATAGATATCTTCTTAAACGTGAGAAACAATTGTGTCATTTGTTTGTTTTATGTACGATCTTACATATTTTCGATAGAATTACCTCAGACAGCTTGACAGTCGCAACGATGCCCAATTGATTGTATTGCCAGTTGAGATAAATCACACCCATTGCCTTCCTCACCAAGGAGTTAACGCCATCGGCACCCACCTGGAACGCATCAAAACACTTTATTTATTCTGGCTCCTTGTGCTTGACGGTAATAACATTTTAAAAGTAAAATTATAAGCGTTGTTATAAGGGGAATTATTGAATTAAGACGAAGATAGTGCGAATAATTGGCGCGTTGCGATAATCAAGCGTGCTGAAAATTTACAAGCATGTACGAAAATAACGTCAGTTCTGTTTCAGATTTCAGCGGAGATCATCAAAGATTATCTGCGCAGGATGATTAACGTCTTATTAATTTTCCATCATAAATGCTACTTCGTTTATTATTATAAATCTGCAAACATGTCCGCAAAAAATATTATTTACATTTTGATATACTTAATAATACAAAATATTTCAGAAAGTCGCATTCATAAAACTTCACAATTATTTAAAAACAAATTATAATGTTAGTTGTTCCATCACCACAAAAAATAATATATTATATATTTTTTATATTATATATTTATTTTCTTCAATCTGCTTATATTTTCTTTATTTTTTTTGTAAATTGAAATAATTGCAAGACGTCTGTAATCGTCATTTGTGTTAAATTATAATAAAGAAGCTGTTAAAATATACTCTCTCAAATCTTAATTAAAAATTAATTGTAAGAAAAAGAAAATATGTATCAGAATAATAATTTTTAAATGATATTGCTTGACATCGACTGAATTCTGCTGAAAGTATTTACAGTCATGAAATGACTGGAATTAATTGATAATACAATCATTTCCGGCATCGTGCTGAGAAAGAATGATAGAGAAGGAGTTTGCGGTCGGGAATTTTTTTCTTTTCCTTTTTTGTCATTGAAACATGCCGGATTTACGCAAGGAGCGAGGGAGAGCCGTGAGAGATTAATAGAAGCTAAATATATAACACTGTTTTATAAACACATGTGGGTATCCTGAGATATACAGAGATCCGGAATAGTCGAATAAGTGTTCAGTATTAGTGAGTGAGAGTTAGAGTTGAGAGACGATGAAGGCGCATTGAGAAAACTATCCATTCTACAATGTCAAAACGATTGCTCATCAAACGACTGATCTAATGAGATTTTTTACTGATATTTATATTAATTATCTTGTTAATACTTATTTAATTGAGAACATCATCGATCTAGCCGTGATAAATGTATCATTGTATGCATGGAAATGCATGTGCTGTTATCATTGCGCCACAATGAATGACACTTAGTTAAAGACAAGAAACTTTCCATTCTTTATACGCTACATGTTGTGATTACATTAACAAAATGTCTATAGTAATCATTCATGTAGAGTTAGACAAATTTCTTTAAGAATCTAAAGAAAGACATGATTATGTCGATTCTTGGTAAGAAAAAGTTTTTTGAAAGACTCTCCGGCAGTCATTTGACGCGAGAGGCGCCGAGAATAGAAGCTACCAATAATGGAATGCCGTCTGTTGTAATCAGCAATAAGGTCAGTGAAAAAAATGTAATCGATGATTTTCCGATGTTTTTCTTAACGTTCGTGTGCCGAATTTAGGAAGAACTCGACGATATTTGGATGAGTGAGATTGACAGTGGCAGTATCTCCTCCGAGAATGGTTCGGATTCTGTCACCTGTCACATATCAACGCCGATGACGCAGGAGCAACTCTGGAGCAAAGAGGAAGTCGAAATAGCGCTATCGAATCTTCCAGGGGGCGAAGCTGCTCTTTCCCTGATCCCTACTCTTCAAAATGATACTCTGCAAAAGGTTTTGGAGGAATTCCAATGCTTGACTCTCAATGAAATTATGGACTGTAATCATCGAAAGATCACACTGCCTACGTTTGCGAACGGGTAATGGCAATAATAGTTGCACATCTACAGTTCAACCTTACAGCGAGGTAAAAGTGAAAAATAAGAACAAGCTTATCCGGGTTTTCAGGTTTATGCGAAAGGCTTTACTAGATAGCGAAAATGGAGCAGCGGCTGCCGCGACTCCGGGTCAGTTACTTGCAGGATGGCCAGACACATGTCTGTTGATTTCTTGCTGGTTAGGTCACGTGGAGATTGCCAAGGCTTTGCTAGACAAAGGTGCGCCAGTTTCTACAAGTGACTGCGATGGAAGGTATATATGTATATAAAACTATAATTTGCGATAGACAGAATCACTATCCAGAATCATGTTATCTATTATGTATCTCGAAAGTTATGTATCTCGAAAGTCTGATTCCATCACAGCGAATTACAAGATATCTCTAATTAATTAGAGCCTCCAACTAACCCTCAAAAACTTTATATCTTAGAACACCATTGCATCTGGCAGCTTGTGCCACATCCGTAAAACTCGTGGAGGAGTTACTGAAGCACGGTGCTGATCCGTGCAAATGGGATCTCGGAAAGAAATGCACCCCGTTACATTGTGCTGCAGCGGCTAGTTGCGTCGCTACCGTCAAATCCCTGATTAAATCGGGTGCAAATGTAGACGCCGGATTATCCGGCAAAAGCCCGCTTCATTATGCCGTGTTAAACAACGCTGGAGATTGTGTCGAGACTCTACTACAAGCAGGTGCTTGTCCCAATAATCCACAGGTGCTCCTTTATTACGATCAACTCAAACATGAATTTGGTGGGGAAGTGATGCTTAAACAGAAATCTTTTAAGAGAAATTTGATCTGATAAGTTGAAATTTGATAATATATGCAGAAAGTAACATCTCATAAAATCTTTAACGTCGATTATGGATCAGATATTATTTTTTCACCAAATTAATGCATCTCTTCGAGATTCAAGTGAAGATTTCTTCAGTGAATTAATATGATTTATTGACAGGTTTACACAGAGACACCTTTGCACGTGGCGACTAGTTTAGGCAATGTGCGTTGCACTAAATTACTATTGAATCATGGAGCGGATGTGAGAGTGCAACTGGGAATCGCGAGATCGACACCTCTGCATCTGGCAGCCGAAGAAGGGAGCGTGGAGTGTACTAAGCTGTTGCTGAATGCCGGTGCGGCCTGGGAAGCAAAGAACTCGCGCGGTCAGACGGCGATGCATCTTGCAGCACTTGCTCAATCTATAGAAACGTTAGATGTATTAATAAATGCCGGTGCGAAAGTCAACGAGGAGGACGACGATGGGCGAACTCCTCTACATGCTGCAGTTGCAAAAGCCTTGAGGAGCGGTGAACTGGTCAAGACTTTGATACAAGTAGTTCGCTCATATATTATACTTCAGAAATAGTCACCTGGGATGTTTTTATATCCCAGCAATGAAATATTATAATATATTATTTTGTCTAGATATAATGGATATTGTAATATATTTTCTTTCTAATTTTTTTTTAATAACTATTCTCTACGAATTTAACACTCTAGGTGATCGTTCACGTTTAAAAAAAAATCAGGTGACTATTTTCAGGTTGAGAAAAATTTTTCTAACAACACAGAGAGATACAATCCTATTTTTTTTTTCCTTTAAAGGCAGGCGCTTTGGTCAACAAGGCGGACAAATTTGGTTACACGCCATTGCACATCGCGGCCTTGAACGAGAGCTCGCCCACGGTGATGTTGTTACTGTCGAAGGGCGCCGATATGACGGCGCGCACCAAGGGCGGCATTACAGCTCTTAACTTTATTATACGTCGCACTCCAGATGTATTACCACTCTTTGTAGCACGTTTCGATCAGGCGATTTCGCTGCACGATCATGAACTGGGCGACGTAGACTGCGAGTTGCGACTGGACTTTCGGCCGTTGGTGCCAGGCGGTCGTGGTGAGACGGATCTAATGCTTTGTCTGGTAGAAGTTGGTCAGGGTCACGTGCTGAAGCATCCGTTGTGTGAAAGTTTCCTTTATCTCAAGTGGCTGCGTATCCGCAAGTTCTTCTTGCTCAGCCTGATGTTTCACTCGATCTTCGTTGCCCTCTTCACTGGTTACGTTGGAGCAACGTATCTCTGGCACGTGAAACGGCTCAGCAATGTTCTTCTCTGGCCAGTATTGGGTTTCACCTGTATGCTTGCAGGCAAGGAATTTTTTCAAATCGCTCATGGTATCTACTGCTATGCCAAACGCTGGGAGAATTGGCTGCAGTGGAGCGTGATCATGGCATCCGGCATTATCCTGATTCCGTCAGCCTATACTTGGCAGCATCACGTTGCCGCTCTGGGTGTCTTATTGGTCTGGATCGAGTTAATGATAGTGGTCGGTCGCTTTCCTATGTTCGGCATCTATGTACAGATGTTCACTCAAGTGTCCATCAACTTCTTCAAGTTTCTCGCAGCCTACATTTGCCTCATAGTCGGCTTCTCCCTTGGCTTTAGCGTGCTACACAAGAACTACAAGTCCTTCGCTGATCCATTGGTCAGTCTACTCAAGACGATGATCATGATGTCAGGCGAGCTCGAGTTCGAGGATGTCTTTTTCGACGAAAAAGCACCGCTCCAATATCCTGGTACAGCCCACTTGATGCTTCTCAGCTTCGTTATTCTAGTGACAGTGATCCTGACGAATCTGATGGTTGGTCTAGCCGTATCGGATATTCAAGAACTGCGCAGATGCGCTGGCCTTGATAGATTAGTGCGCCGTGCCGAGTTAGTGGCTCATCTCGAAAATATGCTATTCTCCAAACTTCTGGATCGGGCTCCAGCATGGAGTATAATACAGGCATGCAGGAGAGGCGCTTTGCTATTACATCCACCGTATCATTGCGCCTTACACATTCGACCGAATGATCCACGTGAAAAACGTTTACCGCGAGATCTCATCCGGGCAACATATCGTTTGGTCAGTGAGAGGAAAACGCGGCGGACAACATACAGAGGCAGTGTGCCACCGTTACTACGAAATGTGAATGCCATGGATTCGAGTCACACAAGGCTCAGTAGAATGTACAGCAACGAGAGCAACCAGCAGCAGCTAAATGAGCTGGCAGCCGAATTGAAGAGATGCTCATACAACATCAGCACTAGGCTGGACAGTTTAACCAACAAAGTGGAAAATATTGCTAAGGACTTGGACATGTCGCCTAACTAAGCTACATTCATCATTCAAGTCTCTGTATATTTTATTTTTATTGTTCACCGAATATTAAACAAGGATAAAATGATACACGGAACCATTCGGATGGTGTTTTGCAAATATACCTCTATTGTCTCATTAAATATTTTAAAATGTTTAAAACAATTAATGAAAAGATCATAAGAATAAGTGTCTCAAAAAGAAAATATGAACTTAAGATAAAAGAGACATAAATTGTAAAAGGCCTCTAACAATGACAATAAAAATATGAATGTAACAAATCACATATTTTCGATCATGATACACAATCTACACACACACACACACACACACACACACACACACACACCACACACACACACACACACACACCACACACACACACACACACACACACATACACGCACATACTTCGCAATTTATATACAGTTAACTTAGTGCTCACCAGTAATCTAGTCCTGTACTGCTCTCCAGACTGCAGCTGTATAGTAACGAATTCCATTCCCGTCTTCAGAAGTTTCACATTGGCGACTTTAGAATTGTAAATTAAAGTAACATTTTCTTTCTCAGAAAGCTGTTTGTTGATCGCGTGCAATAACAGGTCATTCTCAATTATATAGGCCAATTCTTTGCACGACAAATCCTCGTTGAATGTTATCATAGCATCGGAACATGCCTCCCATACCTATTAAAAAATTATATATAAATATATCATAGAAATTAATTTTATAAACCAGAAGAAATTTAATAATATACTAACAAGTAAGAAAAAATAGAAAGATCTTATTTAATCTAAGTTAGAATTTATAAGACCAAAAATTTTATGTATATAAATCAGTGCATAGTTTATAGAACTGATGTATGTATATAAATTCATATTAAAATATTATTAAGCATTAGATTATCAAGATCTAAATCAAATGAGATCAGACTCAATAAGGCATTTTCCTTACTTAATTGTATTTACATACCAGTCTAATGTCACTTGCTTGCTTAATAATATAATTAATTCTTAAATAGCAAAACAGGAATTTAAAGGACTGGCTACCTGCAGTTTTCGTACTGGAGAATATCGGACTGCCTCTATATGTTTCCATGCTCCTATGCTGGATAATAAAGTACGGGTTTGTTGATTCACTGCGACAACTCGATTGGAGTATTTTTCCTGGGGTGTGTATTCCTGTTTAGGATTATTTTCTAAAAGTAAGATCTTCTTGTTTGCCAATCTCCGATTGTTCGCTGAAATTAAACATATATTTGTGAAACATGCTTCACATATTATAAATGTAGACAATATAATAAAGCTAAGAAGAACAGATTATGCATTTTGACAGAAATATATTCAAAGTTTTTTGTCTCACAAAATATTCTAATTCAATAATTGCAACTCAATTAAACGCTAATGTCAATTTTGATATATGTAATATTTATACGTTTTATAGTATATTATACATTTTATAGTAAATTATTTTATTTTATTATTTTATTTTATTAATCAATAAAAAATGTTTTTAAGAACAAAGTTAAATCGTCAAAAATTTCATCAGTAAAAATTTTATCAGTTAAAAATGTAATAAAATAATTCTTGAGAAATCTTCAATTAAAAAGAAAAATAGCTTAAGAAATTTTATGATAAATAATATAATCATTAAATATTTAATTTTATACTTAATTCATTCCCACATCTTATTTTTAAATATTAAAAACGTCTTAAATAATTTTTTAAGTTTCCAAATAGATGTTTTCCTTTATCGAATATCTTATTTACAAATAATAGTGCTGATAAAAAGCTAACCTATAGCGCACGCCAACGTCGTACCGACCATGCCGCCTCCGGCGATGACGATATCATAGATCTTTTCATTTTCCGCAGTGGTTGAGTAGCTCTTCTTCGAGATCACGGTCGCGCTGGGGATGACACGTTCGCAATTCCGCGACAACGACGCGAGGACGAGCCGACACGTTACTACCCTGATAGTCGCCATTTTACACTGACAATGAGTGCAACAGCGCGCGACTCGATTAACAGGAATGAGAAAAGAGCAAATAAAAAGTTTTCTGTTTTTTGCAAAACAGGCTGATCATGTGGTATCATTTAGCTTTATCACATGGTAATAAGATTAATCGCAATTTTTTTTACATTTATCCATACGAAGTGAAGAAGATACAAAGAATGATTTGCATGAACTTGTATACATATCCAGAGAAAAAAATTATAGTTAATTTTAATAAATATTTAGTTCAATACTGCCAACTAAACATTTACTTACAGTAAGTAAATATTTGTTCAATAAAAAAAAAAGATTGTTAAATCAAATTAACATTTCTTGTATCAAATACATATATTTTTATATTTAATAAATATTTAGTTGGCAGTATTCAACTAAATATTTATTAAAATTGACTATATTTTTTTTTCAGTGTCGAAATGTATTTTCGAGAGATAAATGCCTATATTCATGCTTCAGAGATTAAAAATTTCGATTTCAAAGAGGATTAAAAAACTTCGATCTACAGCTAATTTCTTCTTAATTAAAGATAATTAATTTTAAATTAAGAGAATTAAACTTCTCACTTTTAGTTTTTAATTAGAAAATCTAAATCACAAAAAAATCCTGATTTATGCTTAAAATATTGCTGCGCTAAATATAATATAATTTTAAAATAGGATTGAGATGGCAGATGTCACATATTATTATTACCAGAAAAAAATAGATTCTAATTATTCTCTTTGAATAAGCATTATATGTTATACAAGCTTTTCTCTCTGCATAATCGCAGAGATTTGAGCATATATAAATTTTTCTGGGTCATCAAAATTTCATCGTTTACTCGAACGATGTTCACGCTTGAAGGAATCAATGATTTCGCAGACATAATCATTTTCCACGTACGTTCGGCGGTAACATTCACGTTCAAACGAATCGATTGGATTGTTTTGCGCGCCATTTAATTCCGTAGAATTGGTTGCAGGGCGTTAGCACTTCCTCACGAGCTTCACCATGGCGACGGCGACGCCAGGTCGGCGACGCCAGGTCGCATTGATCCCTCGTAGCAGGTACAGTAACGGCCGTCGAAGTTGCCAGTACATTGTTTGTATCCCAGTGTTGGAATCAGGATTTAGTCACAAACCAGCTTCTTAGAACGACCTGGACGACTCGTATTTGGCTGATTGCTCAGAGGAGTGATTAGTCACAAGAAACTCCACGAAGAATCTGGTGGAATATTCTAAGAAAGAGTCGGCAAAATATCTCAATTTTAATGACGATTAGAATAAAATAAAAAACACATTTGTAGGTAGAGCTTAAGATTTTAAGATAAATATATGTATATTAATCGTGTTATCCTGAATGATTTGAAATTTTATGGAAATTTTAACAAAGTCGCAGCTGTAATCAATTTAAAGATTTAACTGTTTGGTAATTAGGAAAGTTAGTTTGCTCTACTGTCCTCTTTATCTTATATTTTAATGTTTGCTGTATTCAGTTATTAGTAATTTTTCCTGTGTATGTCATATATATCTGTGTATGTCATATATATTATGTACAATTAACTTATGCTGTAATTATAGACAGTAGTTGTACGATTGTCTATTGTAATTATCTTTAATTGTGCCTTATAACTGTGCCTTTGATAATATCTAAACTTCACTACATATTTTAAATTTCATTTTAATTTATTTAATTAAAAACTACTTTTTTCATCATTAAATTGTGAAAAAAACGGATACGTTAGAAATTATGAAATATTTATTATATTAAGTGTGGGAAAAAGTTCGTGACATTTTTCCCGTTAGATGGCATTAAAAAAACGCCACGAACTTTTTCCCACACCTAATATTTAATAAAAAAAGTTTTTTATTTAATCTACCAATATTTACATATCTTGTAACAGTAAATTCATTAATATTTAAAATTTATTTTATCATATTATTTGTTATGTTAACTATACGTTACATAATATTTCGTAATAAATCAGTGAACCATGACGGAGCACAGAGGCACCTCCTTTTTCCACTCGTGCGTGAAAATGCCGATAGATCCTTGTAGCCGACAACCAACTCCTTCTTACGAACGTCCTCGACTGTCATCCGCCAGCCGAAGATCAGAAAAAGTGAAAAAAATTAACTTTGTCGAGGGTGAACCGACTGCCGTCGAGAATTCGGGGTCGTCAAGTCCACGCGACACATTGGAAAATCTTCTAGAGTTCCTGAAGAGCATACCAGATTATGGACAAGTGCATCATTTGTCGAACGAGCAATTCAAGCAAAAGGTCGAATATTTAAGAAGGAAGCAGCGGCTGCTCCTGCAGAATCTGAGAAACTCGCTGGATGACACAGAGGAGCCGTCATCGCGTTTGTCAATTACGAGAAATGAGAACTCAAAGTCAAAGGACGATAAATCGAACATCGTTGATGATCTCAAGTTGAATGGGAAGAAATGCTATCTCGAAGAGTCGAGAATCAGCAGCCCAATATTGTTTCCATCTGGAAATTTTGCTGGTCTCGCCGAGGATCAAGATCTACTGACGTATAGGTGATAATTTATAAGTTGTCAAGCGATGAGAGAGTGAGAGAGAGAGAGAGAGAGAGAGAGAGAGAGAGAGAGAGAGAGAGAGAGAGAGAG